CCAGCTGGTCCTGTAGACGATGAACTTGCTCCTCCTGGGTTCTGCTGCTCCTCAACCTGGTTCACTCTCTTCCAGCATTCTCGAGCAAAGTGGCCTGTTTTGCCACAAACATGGCAAGCCCCACTCTTTGTGCCCTTGCCTCCTTTTTCTGCTGGCTTTCCCTTCTTCGCTGAACTCCTCTCCCAGAAGCTCTTGCCTTTCTCGGTGCTCTTCCACGCACCTTTTCCATCTTTGCTGCCATACTTTCCTCTCTCCTTTCCTTTGTCTTTTCCTTTGGCTTCCTTTCCTTTTCCCTTCAAGCCTTTCTTGCCTTTGCCGACCTTTCCAATGTAGTCCACTTCCATTGGAGTTGCCTCGTCACCGGTGGTCCTAGTGGGAGGCATCAGGGAGTTCGTAGATGCGGCAGCTGTTCCGACACTGTCTTGCCTTCCGCAAACTGAATGCGGGATAGCTGGCTCAGGAGGGCTAGTGACCTGGCCCTCGTCGCCGGCTGCATCTCCTTCAAGAGGTTCTGCCATGCTTCGAACCCATTCTCGCTCTTGACATGGCGAATCAGCTTCAATGGTCGTTGCCTCACATACGAAGTCAGCAGGCTGTAGAGTCTCACGGCCTTTGCCTTCGTTTCATCGGTCATGTCACCGATGTCATAGTTGGCGTCCACATTGTTCTCGACCATGTCCATACTGGCCGCCATCGAGGGATCCAACCCTTTCACATAGTTGAGGAAACCAAACTTCCAGTCTCCCCACAACTTCAGCTCTGCATCACTGCATCTCTCCCTTCAGGCTTAAAGACATCCGGTCGTTTGAGATGCCTCGCCCAGCCCTGTGCAGACTGATTCAATGCCAACCGCTCCAAGGCCGTTGCAACCTGCCTCAAGCTCTCTTCAGCCATCACCTTCCACCCGGCGACCTTGGGGATGAATGTCTTCGTCTCCACAGGTGCAAGGGGTGTTGGTGTCCCAAATGCAAGTCCGGCGTAGGCCGGGATGTTCCAGAAGTGCCAGTTGTAGACCAGCTCGCTCAGTTCGTCTGTTCCTGTCTTGTCCCTCAATGCTTCGATGCGCTGCACAAACCTCCACTTTGCGGGCACCACCACAATCACCTCCTTCAGCTCCGACTGATTCTCTTTTCGGGCGACCACTATAGACGCCCTTGCTGCCTTCTCACTTCTAATCCACTTGATCTTGCTCAGATGCTCTTCAGTCTCCACCACCAGCGCGTGGATCTTCGCCTGGGCGCTGGCGCCGCTGCAGGGTGGCACTGCCTAGTGCGCGGCTTAGCTTTGCCGGCTGGGCCTATGCTGACCCAATTTTCAATCACGCCCCTTTGGTTCCATCCTGTCGCGCCGGACGGAGATGGAAGACACCAAAATACAAAAAATATCGCATATGTGCATGAAGTTCCTTGACGCCTGATTGGATAAAATTAGTGACTTAGTGGGCCCCTCACTCGCTCAACAACGTCAACCCTTCTTGCTGGCCGTTTGGATGAGCACAACTCGTCTACTACGTCTTACCCGCTTCATGGCAACATAAGGTTGATTTACTGTAAGGATGTTAACTCTAGCGCTCCGACTCCGATCCCATATTTGGGCAAAAATATTGCAAGTCAGTCCCAACTTGTGTGCATGTGAGCTGGTCATGGCCATAAAGTCCTGGCATGCTGGAGCTGCCAAAGAACACATACTTCACTCTGCTTGTGATATGGAGTTATGGACGGTGAGTTGGAGGCCCAGGAAGGTTGACGTGAGCTCGGGAATGGACGGGGACCTTCTCCAAAACCATAGTTTCCTAACTCACGCGCCAGCAGACACCCACTGATCCCCCAGAACATAACTGACATTTTCAACCGCTATATATTGTATATATATATACCTAAGAAAGGAGAGGACGAAAGCCAGCGAGAAACCAATATGGTAGTGCAAGACTGGGAGGAAAAAGTAGCGGAGCACTTATTGTTGAATGCCTGTAGCTTTCGTGGAGCTTGTATCAACGTGGAGTAGATCAAGATCGGAGCACAGCATGAAGCGTTGAATGCGTTAGGTTTTCTCGATTTTCCTGGCGCGGTGCTCTCTGGAGCGTCCCTGTTTGGTGGTCTACTTGAGAATCCGTGTAAAATCAGGAGAAGGATGCCCGAAAGGTGGTTTTTGGTTGTTTTGAAATGTGTTTCGGGCATCGTGCATCAATGCGAAGCCCCATAAAGAGCAGGGCTGGGAGAAAAAAAAAGGAGAGCGCTCATTCCTGAATGGTTGTAGTTTTGGTGGAGCTGGTATCACTGCGACGTAGATGAAGATCGGAGCACAGCATGAAGTGTTGAATGTTTTTAGTATTCTTGATTTGCTTGGCGCGGCGCCTTCTGGAGTGTCCCTTGTTGGTGTTCTATTTGAGAATCTGTGCAAAAATAAACGTCAGTGAACACCAGGAGAATGATGCCTGAAATGGTTCTTGCTGTTGTGTTGAAATGTGTTTCGGGTATCGTGCATCAATGCGAAGCCCTATAGAGAGCAGGGCTGGGAGGAAAAAATTGCAGAGCACCTATAGTTGAAAGCTTGTAGTTTCGTGGAGCTGGTATCACTGCGACTGAGATCAAGATCGGAGCACAGCATGAAGCGTTGAACGCTTGCAGCTTTCTTGCTTCTCCTTTTGCGATGCTCTTATCCCCAAGCCTCTATCTCGCCCAACTGGACATGCTCACATCGTTCGCTCCCAGAGCGTTCACTCTTTGTTGCTTGGTCCTTCTTGGTATGACCAAAGCTACACAGTCCCTATGCCCTGCTCAGGACTAGAAAAATTGTCTCCAGACCCCTTCATGATGCTAATGATGCACTACTCGGCGTCCATTGCATCACTTGCATCACCAGACCCCATTTTCACTGCTTTTCTGACCCTCGCTTTGGAGCGCTCTCCCACACCAAGCTCCGGGTTCACCCTCTCAAAAGGTGCCTTTTCGCGCCCTCCCCCCCCACACCCCCTTAACTCTCTTCGTTCGCTCTAAGAGCTCAAGCCTAGCCTATCGGCTGGCTTTCGTAATATATCCTTTCTCATTGAGGTCAGTTTGACAGACTTGCGGGCCAACGGGCTCGCGGGGCCCCTCGGGGAACAACAATAGCCGCGACAAGGGAAACATTAATTCACTGGGTGATTTCTCCGCAAATGCATAGTAAAAACATTTGGTACATTGTGTGAGAGCGGCGGATCATTGCGCCATGCAAGAGCTGTGCAAGGATACAGTTGCAGTTTGTGAGTCCGTGACCGTGGGGAAGGGAATGGTAGAATCACTCACAGCTGCGCAAGGAAGTTCTTGGCAGGACTCTGTGTGTGTGTGTCAACCTCTGTTTCCAAGGGCTCACGCAGCGGGCAGCAGGGAATCCACAGTTTTGCTGCCAATGAAGACAGCTGTGGATATTCCGTGAAGCAGATTGGGACGCCAATCTGTGCTCCTGCTACTGAAACTTTTGATCAAGCTGTCTAATTCTTTTGGTTTGCTTCCATGGTCCTTACATGTTTCTTCCCCTAAACCCACTTTTCCACCGCAGATGTGCAGCCGCGCTGACTGCTCGACACCGCTGTTCTCGTGACTTGCAGATGTGCGAAAACCTTTTGTTCAAACATCTTCAAATCTTTGGACCTTTCGCCTTGCCTTTCCCTCACCTTCCTTCTCGACGTGGGAATTGAGTTAACAGCAAACCAATGTCAGAGTGTGAACCGCTCAGCCGTCCCACTTGGGTGCTGGGTGTGATCCTCCGCAAGGATGCGCTGTTTTCAGACCGGAAATCGTCTTCCTGAATTACCGCCGTTTCATCGTAGATCACTGTCACTTCTTCCATGCCAATACTGAATTAACAGGATTGAAAGCCGCCGGGCTTCTTACGGATACTATAGCCGCCGGGCTAAAAAACGGAATTCAACCCACTGGAGGCAGGTCTCCCAACCCCCCCCCCACCGTGTTCTACTCCCTACCTAATTAGGGTAACACAGGGAAATGGTACTCGACACACTTGTGTCGGTGCCTTTCCCTCTGTTGCCCCTTTTCTAGTCTACTCTACCCGGGCGGTTTAAGACTAAAGTCCCGCTCCCTAACTATTGCACGTAATTCGTTTCTGCTAAGTAGTCAGTAACCCTAGAGTGCTAGGTAGTCATACATACACACGGACACACACATGCCACATACATCCCCTCCCTGCCCCCCACTTTCTTTCTTGCGCTTTTGGTTGTTTCTTGGGCTGTCTCTCAGGCTTTTTAGGTTGTTCTTGAGGCGCGTTTCCCTACCCCAGTCAAGGGCTAAGTATTCATTTTTTCATTTTTCTACACCTATCGTTCTCTCTTGCCCTCTTAGCGCTGCTCTTTCTGTGTTTCTTTCTTGTGTTTCTTTCTTGTGTTTCTAAGGCTTTTTGGGTATCTATTCAGGCCTTCCACGCGAGCGCCGCCAAGCGGCACCGTGTGTGTGTCAACCCCTGTTTCCAAGGGTTCACGCAGGGGGCAGCAGGGAATCCACAGTTCTGCTGCCAACGAAGACAGCTGTGGATATTCCGTGAAGCAGATTGGGACGCCAATCTGTGCACCTGCTACTGAAACTTTTGATCAAGCTGTCTAATTCGTTTGGTTTGCTTCCATGGTCCTTACATGTTTCTTCCCCTAAACCCACTTTTCCACCGCAGATGTGCAGCCGCGCTGATTGCTCGACACCGCTGTTCTCGTGACTTGCAGATGTGCGAAAACCTTTTGTTCAAACATCTTCAAATCTTTGGACCTTTCGCCTTGCCTTTCCCTCACCTTCCTTCTCGACATGGGAATTGAGTTCACAGCAAACCAATGTCAGAGTGTGTGTGTTTGTGACTCTGGGTTATGATGGGATACGAGTGGAGGTATACGCTCAGTCAAAAGCATGTGAATCTATATATGTAGTACATTCTGGTCGTAAGTTATTTTCTGAACAGCTGAAGGGATTGTAGATAAAATATCGATTGCAATGGTGCATGCGACTGTGATATAACGCGTCCTGACCATCGCCTACAATTGCGCTGAAAAGAGGCTGCCCAGCAACCTGCCGTTAGTGCTGGATGCAACTGGAATCTCGAACCCTCATTGAAAAGCAGTTGTGATTTAAAGGAGTAGGGGTAACATGATATGGGGAAGAGTGCTAAGCTCTTTACATTGAGTCCAATTCTCTCAAACGAAACTATGTTAGTTCTCGAAACATTATGACAACCTACTGCGTTCCCTACGAAATTGCAAATGCAGCATGAAAATGGGACTGGGAAGGGAAAAAAAGCGGCTATGCGAGGGTTCTCAAGTCGCAACGAAATGACAATGGTGGCCTGGCCAATCTGCATGCCAAAAAGCGGCAGCGCACTCGCCTGAGCAGCCTGCCAATGCAAAGCAAAGTTAAATAGCCCAAAAGGCCAGATGATAGTTGTACTGTAGGCCACAGGGAAGAGGTTGCAATGAGAGTTGTGCTACAGGTTGCAGGTCCTTAACAAATTGATGCTAAAGAGATTCCTGGAACTTTGCACAAGTTGAAGTCAAAATTCTCGTATTGGACGTAAATCACCCACCACCGAAACAAAGAGGGTGAAAAGACATGAAAAGACAGTGGATTTAAGCAGCCGCTCCAAGAGAATGCTGAGCATCCCAGATTGCCCAACCATCAAAGTGTAACAAAGCTGGAAGCGGCACAAGAGATAGGTTAAAGGATCACGAAGTGGCCATTGTCCAGCAAGTTACGAAGTCAATCAAGAGGCGCAGGGAGGGCACAGCGTCGTCAGTGGCAAATAGCACCGAAGCTCACAGCTAGCATGGACGGATTCCTTCCGTCCTTGCTTTCTACTCTGACTTTGTTGGCCCTGCCTTCGAGGTCTTTGTGCTCTACCTCTGCATGGGGCCTAGATTCATGCGATCTTGTAGCTCGAGCACATTCAAATGCGCAAACCACTCCACCCACGGATGGGATTTAGTCTCCCTTCTTGCGTCCAAATGCCGCAGGTCTCCAGTTGAATTGTTCTACGTGCAGGCAATTGAAGCTGTCTCCAAACATAGGCCCAGTCACTCCAAAGTCAACACTGCTTCTCCAGCACATCACCTCGTTCAAAGGTTCTGAGAGCCACGGGAAACGCAGAATTTTTGTTCGCTCTTCGAGGGTGGCATGTGCCTGAGGCACTTCCTTGTTGAATTTTAAGTTGTGTTCAAAAAATTGTTAGTCAACCATCTCATCGCTCTGACAGCATCCTACCCGGTAGATGATCAAGAGACGGCACAGCATTTTTGTGCAAGTGTAATATGCCACAACCTGTTCTGTGTGATGAGCATTGCCATGAGAGGGTTTGTTGGTGGGGTTGGAAGTCAGAGCACTGAACTTAGACCCAGAACTTCACGGACCTTGATACTGAGCTTAGGAGGCACTTTCTCAGCCAACTTGAAGCTGTTGGTCAGCTCTCACTGTCTCACTGACCTGCTGGAAGGAGAGCCCCAACTGCATGCGCCCAGCTACATGTAGCTTCTTCTTTCAATTCTAATGTCTAATGAATTATTGTTTCTAATAGCTTCTTGCTCCTAGTAGTAAGGCCAGGAGCCCCTAGGAGCGTCCTTGCTCCTAGTAGCGATGCCAGGAGCCCCTAGTAGCTTCTTGTTCCTGCGTAAGTTCTCGAGAAACATGAGCAGTCGATCTGGTCCCTCCCATCCGCTGCACAAAATGGAAACGGACAAGCGGCGCTGTTTTTGGACTACTCATGATATGGGGTCGATTCAGTCCAGTGAAAGACATGGCCTGCCAATCCAGCCTGCCCACCACCAAGCTTGAGCACCAACTATACACAAGCAAAAAAAGAAACGAACCATCACACTCAAGGTAGATTCCCCAACAGGATCTGAGCTGGAGATTCCAGGAATTGTCCACCCCCAGTCCTGCGAGCGCAGATTCTGAGGTGATCACCTAGCCTGGGTCTTGAGGAAATGCAATCTGCAGTGGGTCCGAATCTGCGGTGAATGTCCTTCAGATGTGCCAAACCAACCCTGCCGCAAGTAATTGAGCAAAAACACCTCAAGCGCAGGCCTGCAGATGGTACCGCGGCTTTAGGCTCAAAACAAAATGCGTCAATGGAGAAAAAAGAAGGCGCGAAAGGACATCGTCGTAAGATCAACTCTGGTTTGCCATGTGGTGTGATTCAGACGTCCAAGGATGTCACCTTGGCAGAAGGTGCAGTATTACCCAGTCTGCATTGAAGAAGTCTTTGGAACACAAGGGAGGAGAATGACCAAAGGATGGCTTCTGAATGGTTTAGTATGTTTAGTGAGAAGTACTGGAATGCAAACCTCAATCAAATGGATACCGTGCAGGAAGAGAATCTTGCAGTGCAGGTCTCAGAACAAATGCCTTCCCAATAGAAGGAGAGTCTATGCTCGCCGATCATTGCAAATCCTGCAATCATCTTAGGCTGCCTTTATGACCCACCGGAGAGACTGCGAGTCACACTTTTGATGAGCCCTTATCAAGTGTAAACCATGGTTGTGAAACTCCTGGGGTGTGAAATACTTTTTAATAGCTTCTTTGTTACTACTAGTAAGGCACCTGTTACTACTAGCGTGGCACCTGTTACTACTAGTAAGGCACCTGTTACTACAGAAGTGGAGTTCACAAGGTCCATGCGCCAGCTAACTGGTTGCATGCACATCGCCGGCCTGAACTCGGGGAACGTCAATTTGGTTCTGCCAATTGTTCTCTTGTGTTCTTTAGACCTTAAGTTTTAGACATCTTTGAACCTTCTTGTGTTGTTCTTTCTTCTTTGATTTATTCTCCATGTTAATTCCCCTTTGTAAATGGACTTAACTACTTTGGATGAAGAACGCTTGTTACCAGGACACTCCTAGGGATCTTGCCTTCTTCGGATGCGCAAGGGAAGTATACCTCTGCAGTGTCGGGCCAACAGCAGGAACAAAGAGGCCAAGGCCCACGCCTCACACCAAAACCGAACAAGCAAGAAGAACCCAGATAGAAACAAGAAAAATGAAAAATGCTTTGCGGCCAAGACGGAGCCACCAACTGCGCCAAGGTACCCATTGACCCATGTAGCAGCAAAATGTGCCACACCTGCCAGGCTGAAGCGGTCAGACAGGGAGGTTCTACACTGGGCACTTTTGTGAAGAACAGTGCTCTGTACACTGCGGTTAGGATGATGTTAAATGTCAATATACTATACACCCATACCGTAGGTCAGACAAGACCCCGGCGCATTGTGTCAAAAGCGCTTTTCGAAGGACTCTCCAAAGGTCGCGCACCACATTTGCAGAAATTAATTACACAATCACCTACGACCCCCATCCTCACCAACTAAGATTCCAATTCCTTTCTACCCCATCTTTAATGCATGATGCACTCCACGGCCAAGCTTTGTGCACTCACCACGTTTTTGCCCCGCTGCACTTGCCTGACTCACATTTCAGCACAGTGTTTGAAATCGGCTTGTGCTCACAAAGCTCAAGCCAGGTCTTTGTTGATGGTGGATGGGTGACCAGGCTTGGCGTTGGCATTACAAGGAGTTAGAAAGGAGTTCATGGGGAAGGGCGTATCGCCTCTTGCTGGTGTGTTTTTAGCTTGATAAGTTGGGTTGGGAGGGCGGGCGGAATCACTTGCGAACTCTGCTTCATGATGTCCGGCTCATGGGCCCACGCACTTTCTCAGTCATCTGCACGCAGCACCACAGACTCATCTGGGTGGTGCAATTACCCTCATGTTGATACGGCAGCGGCCACACAAGGCCATCGTCCTTCTCTTTCGAGAGCCCCTTGGAGAAAAAGACACGCAAAATCAAGACGGAGAAAACATCATCACGATGCATGCAAAAGAGTCTCTTTCAGCGTGTACAGGCCATAGCTGGCACACCACTAGATTTTGTCGGGTTTGAACATTTTGAGCAGCACTGCAGGAGATTCTAGATCAGACTTCCTGCTACTGTCGGGGCTGGGGGCCAGTATGCGCAGCAGTGTGGGAACTTTGAGGGATTTTCTGGCAGATATGTGTGTGTGTGTACATATATAGATAGATATACTTATATATTATATGTGTGACTGGGTCTGGTCTTGGTTGGCTTGGGTTGGTTTGGCTTGCCTTGCGGAGATTTTCGTTGGGCAAGTCGCATTGCATATCATTGCATAGATTTTGGCATCATGCCGAGGCACGGCTACCGGCTACAGAAAGAAAGACCAGGCAATGTGAACCAGAAGTGCCCCAACCTTGTGAGTTCCCGCAGCTCAGGAGTCCAAGATGGCGAAAGAATGACAAGGATTCAACTAGTCAATCAACATTCCTCCAGGCTGCTCACACATAGCATTGACACCAAGAGTATCTTGGACCGACATGGTGAATCGGACTGAAATGAATATAAACCCCAACAAACCTGCACAATACACGAAAACAAACTGCGAGAACACTGATTAATTAACCTCTCTGTCACCAGCACCCAAAGGGCCCGGCCCTGCCTCGGTAGATGCAAATCCGTACAAACAAATGACCACTGACGCGATAGCGGCTCCAATTCCTCAATTCGGTGTTTGTGTGTCAAAGAATGTCAGCCTTTGATCAAAGAGCAAACACTGGTTTCTCGATCCCCAATTTGCACAGTGAGCTTTGCCCAGGGCCTACTGCCTACACTTGAAACATGCACGTATGTATATAAATGTATATAAAGTGTCAGTGTAAGGTTGCTTATTGTCTAAACTCCGTGCATGGATCCAAGCGCTTCGCCAGGTGTTCAAGCAAAGCCTATCCTTCTTGGCAAGAGTCTTTGAGTACTGCATGCCACGGCATGCTCAAGCCCTTGAGTTTTTCCCGGCCATGAGCCTACTAAAGAGCTTGAAGGCCTCAAGGCCCATCCGACTAAGAGTGATCAGCTGTCTGATCTGGACCTGTCTGTCCAATCCTAATCTTCAGAGCGTAGTGCATGTATTCATGGTCGCCCTAAAGTGAGTGCATTTCATCATATACATTATGGCTTGCAGCGAGTGAAGTCTTGCGAATCTTGTGAATCATCTCAGGAAAGCTCACACACCTCACTCATTAAACATATGAAGCCCTTGAGTTTTTTTGGATTTCTGCCTGATCCCTGATGACGATGTGATGTTTGGCCAAGAAGCGCATTGTTGCAACATCTCCAATTTTGCTGGAAACCTGACAAGACGGGCGGCCCAAGAAACAAATTGGCTCAATTGTTGCTGGTGACACAGCCTTGGAACTTGGATATCTCCCTACATGCGTGGCACCCCTCTGAAAACATAAAGCAACACCCCTTTCAAAACTCGATCTCTAAGCAGCCTCACTACAGTTGAACTGATGGGTCCCGAATCGATTCAAATCCACCGTGCCGCACAAATATCCTGGACATGTTATTAACAAGAATCTCCCTCCCCCGGACATCCCACTTCCATCAGCTGCCGTTCGAAAGCAGGTGGTGGTGACAAATGATCAGCAAGTGACTCCACAAGTTGAACAAATCGTGGATGATCCATGGCCCATGATGAAGATCCTGGGAAGCCATCTGCACAGGGCCCGCCCAGCAGTTGGACTCAAGCCAGCTCGGCTCCGCCAAAAGCTGCAAACGTGGCATGGAATTCGCCACCGGTGGACCAGGCCTCTCGTGGCTTTTTGGATCACTCCAGTGAGACTGCAGGAGAAACACGCTTGTGGAGGCAACAAGAAGTTCAGGTGTGGTCGATTGGCGCGTGGGAACTTAGTTCAGAATGCCCTGAAGACACAATTGCCTGATCACATTTCCCAGATCGGGGCAACCAATCGGCGATGATCGTGGACGGGCGAGATCTCCGCCTCAAATCGCCTTTCCTTTGACCAAGAACACCACGTGGCTACGTGATCATCAGGCGCTCCAAATCTCTCAGTTTGCTGCAGTACATGCTCATTGGACTGGTGCCATGGAGACCCCAAACGAGGACGAGACCGGCGCTTCCACTTCAGCAATTGCCGTGGAGTCCAACCCAATCAACATGCACTTGGTGTGTGGTTGTCCCGGCGGAAGCGCTCGCTCTTCAATGTTAAGTTATGACCCATGCACTTGAGCAAGTGGCACCCGCTGTGAAGGGCCGACCTTGGGCCTGGCAGCCAGCGCTGCCAGTGGTACACGCACTAGAACGCGCCTGGGAGATCCGCAAAAGAAATCGTTCGTCGTGTTGCGTCCTTCTTCCTTTAAAGTCTTTTCCTTGCATTGGGGTTCCCAAAATGAATGGGGTTCCCAAACTCT